CCCGTGTCTTTCCTGTTTATATCCAAATCATTCTCTGCCATAATTCCAACACCTATCAGGATACCTGACACCTAGAAGTTATTGGTTAAATAGACATTTATGTATTATTAATTTACTTATTTATTTGTTTTTGGCTGCATTGGGTCTTCGTTGCTGTGCACGGGCTTTCTCTAGTTGCGGCGAGCAGGGCCTACTCTTCGTTGTGGTGCACAGGCTTCTCATTTCAGTGGCTTCTTTGGTTGCAGAGCATGGGTTCTAGGCACACAGGCTTCACTAGTTGTGGCACACAGGCTCTAGAGCACAGGCTCAGTAGTTGTGGCGCATGGGCTTAGTTGCTCCGCAGCATGTGGGATCTTCCCGGACCAAGGCTCGAACCCATGTCCCCTGCATTGGCAGGCGGACTCTTAACCACCGCGCTACCAGGGAAGTCCCTAAGTAGACATTTACATGCCAGTGTCACTCATGTTAAAACTCCTTGCAATCCGAGACTATGTCCTTTTATTTTCCCCAGTCTTTTTTTTTTTTTCTTTTTGGTTTTTACTTCCATGCTAAGTACAGTAAGCCATAGAGGTAGGGGCAGTAAACATTTAAGGAACTGTAAAGAACAAGGGAAGCCATGATCACCTAGTTGAGCCAGGCCAGGTGAGCCTGTGAGATACTCCTCCGCCCCCTAGTGGTGTATATGGGAATTCCTCCTGGCTTATTACCAGTTTGTCAATCTTTTTTTTTTTTTTAAAGATTTAATTTTATTTATTTTTGGGTCTTCGTCGCTGCGCACAGGCTTTCTCTAGTTGCGGCGAGCGGGGGCTACTCTTCGTTGCGGTGCAGGGTCTTCTCATTGTGGTGGCTTCTCTTGTCGTGGAGCACAGGCTCTAGGGGCTCGCGGGCTTCAGTAGTTGCGGCACGTGGGCTCAGTAGTTGTGGCGCACGGGCTTAGTTGCTCCGCGGCATGTGGGGTCTTCCTGGACCGGGGATAGAACCTGTGTCCCCTGTACTGGCAGGTGATTTCTTAACCACTGCGCCACCAGGGAAGTCCCCAGTTTGGCAATCTTGAAGAACTGGATGAAATTATCTACCCATAAATTAATAAATGTAGAAATGCATAATGGTGTAAATTCTTCCAAATTAGATAAGCATAGTAATAAATTTTAAATGTGACCTGAGGCTGAGAGGACTCAGGGTTTCTTGATTTGAGGGCTGGGGTCATGTCTAATTCATCTCAACTATCCTCCCACAGGGCCTAATGCACCATTGTATATTTTTTTACTTAAAAAGTAATGCATGGGGCTTCCCTGGTGGCGCAGTGGTTGAGAGTCTGCCTGCCGATGCAGGGGACAGGGCTTCGTGCCTCGGTCCGGGAGGATCCCACATGCCATGCAGCAGCTAGGCCTGTGAGCCATGGCCACTGAGCCTGCGCGTCCGGAGCCTGTGCTCCGCAATGGGAGAGGCCACAACAGTGAGAGGCCTGCGTACCACAAAAAAAAAACAAAAACAAACAAACAAAAAAATTAATGCATGAACTTGATAGAAAAGTTTAGACAATACAATAGGGAAGAGAATGACAAGTAAGTCTTGCTCCAGGCCCAGAACCTAGGCCCCAGGCCCTCAGTTTCACTTCCTGATAATAGCCACTTGTACTAGATTCCCTGGAATCCTTCCAGTAGGGTAATCAACTCATCCTGCTCTGCCTGGGACTTTCCCAGCTTTAGCACTGAAAGCCTCACATCCTGGGAAACCCCTCAGCCCCAGGCAAATTGGGATAGTTGGTCACCCTACCTCCCAGAGACATCTATTCATCATACACAAACATATACACATATTGGTTGCATTACTCAGCAACCTGGTGTTATTTTAATCAAAACTATATTTCAAACATCATTCCTTATCAGCTGTATATTCATTTAACGAATACTTATGGAGTTACCTACCATGCTCTAGGTACTGTTTTAGAAGCTGAATATACAGTAGTAAACAAAATGGGCAAAAATCCCTTTCCTCATGGAGTTAACACACCAGTAATTATATCTGTTGTATTAATCACTTTGCTGTTATGACCAATGCTGTCCTGGACATTTGTGTGTACGTATCTTTCCTACATGTCAGTGTGAGTTGGTCTATAGCAGCACCGTCCACAGAACTTTCTGTGATGACGGAAATGTCCTCTATCTGCTGTGTCCAGTATATAACCACTAGCTACGTGGGCTATTGAGCTCTAAAAATATGACTAGTGAGCCTGAAGAATTGAATTTTTAATTTTGTTTTTTAATTTAAATTTTTTAATGTAAATAGCCACAGTATTGGATGATGCAAGTCTGTGGGAGAAAGTCCTAAAAATAGAAAAGATAAATCAAAAGATGTGTGCTCTTGTAAATTGTATAATTATAGGCAAATCACCCACGAAGAGGTTGTATTAGTTATCTGTTGCTGTATAACAAAAGACCACAAGCTTAGCAGCTTAAGCAACACACACTATGTCACAGTTTCTGTGGGCAAGAAGTGTGGGCATGGCAGGACTGGATCATGGCATAACAAAAGATTACAGGAGCAGATTTCCCATTGATTTTCCTTAGGATCACTATTTAGTTGAATAATTTTTAAAACCATCTGTCACCACCCGCCTACCTCACTGCCTATTAGAGATCATGTCTTTCTCCCTCACACCATATCCCCGGCACCGGAGGGCCCAGCACACAGTAGGCCCACAGGGACTCTTTGTTGCCTGAATGAATGAGTCTCCCTTGGCAGTAAAAATCAAGTTTGCGAAGCCTTTGAGCAGGACCCCTTCCCCACTCCAGGCTCTCATCAGAACCCCAAGAGGGTCTTAGATGATGTAGGCCATCTGACAGAGGCTGCCAAAAACTAAAGAGGAAGAGATGATTGTGGGAAACATTTTCCTCAAGAACATTAAGGGAAAATGGGAGGAGAAAGATCCATTCATTTGACACACATTATTAGGTTGATTGTTTTTGAAAAACAGCCAGTGTGATTGTGGGGAATGAGGGAGGGCTGGCAATACATTTGCAAGCTAAGAAAGGGAGAGTGGGGACATTTTCACGGAGAATGCCCAGAAAAAACAGGAAGGGATATTGCACATTTAGTCTAGTCTCAGCATTGACCAGGGCTGGGGTTGGGGCCGGGGGAGGGGGGGGGCGTGTAATGTAGATTAGTGGTTCTCAAAGTACAGTCCTGTCCAGCAGTGGCTGCATCACCTGGAAAAAATGTTAGAAATGCAAATCCTCAGGCCACACCCTAGATTTACTGACCTGCTGAATCAGGAACTCTGGGGATCTGCCCCAGCAAATCTTGTTTTCAGAAGCCCTCCAGGTGACTCTTAGGCACGTAAGAGTTTGAGAATGACTGGCACTCTTAAATGCACAGGTACCAAAGCCAGACTGCATGGGTTCAAATCCTGACTCCGGTTTTCCATCTGTGTTAAAAGGTAATTTAATCTCTCTGTGCTTCGATTTGCATAGTTGTAAAATGTGAGTGGTAGAACCAAAGTCACAGCTTGCTCTGAGGATTCATTCATGTAAAGTGCTTAGAATAATAAGTGCACAAAAAGTTCACTATTAATATAGTATTATTTCAATCCTGTCCTCCTGTCTCTGTGACTAAGTGTACGAGCTCCTGGAAAGTTCATTTCAAGAGCCCAAACTGGAGGCACTCAGTGGATTTGAAGCCCGGGTCTGGGACTCCCCTGCCCTCACCGTCCTCCCCGCTCTCAGCACAGGGTCCGGTGGCAGCTACAAAACCAACACAAAGGCTTATAAATACCCACAACACACCTCTGGCCCCACTAAAGCACCCCCATCCCTGGAGAGGAGAAAGGGCACTTTTGGCTGGGAAGAGGTCAGATGCACAGGTGCCTAGCATAGGAACAAGAAAAAGAAATGGTAAAACATAAGCATTGGCCCTCTAGGGTTGCTGCCTACCCGCCAGGTTATTCGTCTGTGAAAAGATGCCCACATGGCAAGCTAAAAATAATCCTCCTGCTTCCAGCAGGTCAAGCAAAATCAACCCAGAGGACTGAGAATGGGACAAATGAGGCGCAAATTTGCATTCAGTTAATCTGGCTTAGCAAACGTAGTTTATTTGTCCTGTGCAGACTCCTTACTGTGAGGGCTTTGTGGCCTTTCAGGGTGGAGTTTAATTGATCATTGACTTTCCTGGTTAAGAAAACCACACAGGCTTGTTAGCAGAGCCTGCTAACAAGATGTAGCTTTTGTTACATGGGCTATATACAAGAGCCAATTTGGTGCAGTGAAAAGTGGAGAAAGTTGAGATTCAAAACATCTGGGTTTTAGGCCTCCTCCTTTCAGGATTGAGGTTTAGTCTCTCTCTTCAAACCCGAGGCTCCCCATCTTATACAGAGCTGGAGCTAGATCCCATGGCCAGGAGGCATGTGGACACAATTTTAAATAGTTTGACTCTAAGGGAGATAGAGATTACTTCTGCTTTCACTAGGAAGTCTCAGTGTGGTGGTAGTCTGTCTTCAGCACCTCTCTACTCATGCTTAATCTCCCTTTTCAGCGGCAACAGTATCCAGCATGAATTTATAAGATTGTATTGTTTCCATTGTATTTTTCCAGTGTCCTGTAGAAATGTGATACTGATTTTCTATTTGTAGCTTGGGAGTGATAACAGATCTCTCTTTAAAATTTGTTTGCTGAAGTTTAAAAAAACAACAACTCGATTGAAGAGAAAGATTCAGTAATAGTGCATAAGTAAATTTTAAGTAATAGTAATAACGATTTAAATTTGGGAAACAGTGGCTGAAGCACAAAGCCTGTTCCACAAAGCCAGTCTCTGGATCTGGGAAATCGAGATTTCCCTCCCTCCCTCCCGTCAGAGAGGTCAGGAAGCGCTGCACACCCACTAGCCCCGCCCCCAGCCCGACGCACGTTCCATAAGTCACGCCCCCAGCCCGACGCACGTTTCATAAGCCCCGCCCCTCGCCCCGCCCCGCGGGCTCCTCCTCCTCGGCCGCCGTTGCCCTGCGCTCAGCGGCAGCAAGATGGCGGCGCAACCGCAGGACCGTGATGGTGGTTCGCAGCTGGCAGGGCCGGCGGCGGAGGCCGACCCCCTGGGCCGCTTCACATGTCCCGTGTGCCTAGAGGTGTACGAGAAGCCGGTGCAGGTGCCCTGTGGACACGTGTAAGTGGAGGGTCAGGGGCCGGTCGGGGGGGGCGCCTGACTGGGAGGAAAATGGAGCCGAGGAGCGAGGCCTCGGCAGGGAGGGTCTCGAGGAGGGAGCGGGAGGACATGGAGTTCCTGGAGGCCCGTGGAAGTTGGCGGGGTGGTCTTCTCTTCCGCCCTCCTTACTCCCAAGTATCCGGCTCTTCTGTTGAGCGCCTGCTGTGTTACAGGCAGCCTGCCAGGCTCCTTCCCTTGCGCGATGGTGGAGTCGCACCCTCCTGGGGGTTTGGTAAGGTCTAAAGTCGGCTCTTGGGGAGTCAGTTTCCCTTAAATAGTCTGTACGTGGCCCCTGAAGTACACTGTGTATGGCGTCATGTGTCTAGCTGTGCCAAGTAATGCTAATGTTCACTACAGTTGGGGAAACGCCAGACTAGACCAAAAGAACAAAAGGGAAGTCTTGATGTAGATCTGACCAGTCTGCCCTTCACTGTGAAAGAGGTGGGGAGTTGGCAGATAGGGATTGTTAGCATTCCTACTTGGGTATGAGGTTTGTTTCATTGTATTTGAAATTATAAAGTTTCCATGTTGCTAATAGACTGCTTATGACGACTGAAGGAGATGTGTGTGAAAATGTCCAGTATAGGTTCTGGGGTAGGTGCTTTGAGGTTGGCTGGGTTTGAATCTAAGCCTTGCTCCATCAGACACATCAGACGCTTAAGTTGAAAGAACCGTAGAGAATGTGGCTACCTTCCTCTTGCTACTGGGAGTTGGATTTTCGTCTGTGGCCTTCCCCAATGGTCGTCACGGGCATCATCTTGGTATTGGTCTTAGGATCCCTCTGTTGGTCAGTAGGCACAATAGGCACCTACTGGACCTCATGGGCATTCTTATTTCTGCAGCACTACAGCAGGGGAAGAGGGTTGGAGGCCATCTTGCAAGTGAGGGCACTGAGGCTCACTTAGGGCAGGTTCACCATTGTCTACTCTCCCCAGATGGACTGCAGGTGTCTGTTTGCCAGTTCAGAGAACAGTTGGCACCTGGCAAGGGCTCTTCAGGCACACTGACTGCTTTTTGCTTCTTCAAGTGCGCCAAGCTCTTTCTAGCTTCAGGCTGTTCCTGTTTGCAGTTCAATTAGCCTGGAACTCTTCTTGCGCCATTTGCACCTCCCCCGTCTCTATGCCAGATCCTTTCCAGACTTCCAAGTCCCAGTTTAAGTTACCTCCCTTGTCACCAACCCCATTTAAATTACCTCCCTGCTTCTTTCCTGGGGCTTCTTTCTCCAACCTTGCACAGAGCAAAACTTCGGGATCACGAGGGTAGTGATCATGTCTGTTTTGCGCCTCTTTCTGTCCCAAGTGCCCAGCGTAGTGTCTGAGCAACCATCTTCCAATCTTATGTTCAACTGGCTAAAATATTTGTGTGCTCACTATGTGCCAGATTTGGGGGCACAGTAGGAAACAAGGTGATTCTGCCCTCGGAGTTCACAGTCCAGTGAATTGATGATAAATAAGTACTAATAATGCTCAAACGTTTGTCAAAACTCATTGTGCAATGGGAGGGTATTATAGAGACCAAACCTGGGGTGGGGACAGGGGGAGTGATCAAGTAAGGAACGAATGAACTAAGAAATTAGTGGTGGAAGCAAACTTTGTGAAAGTTGAAGTGGAGCCTAGGTAGCTTTCTGGTTGAGTCCTCTTTTCCTTGGATCAGTCCTCATTATTATGTTTACCCAATTTTGGATTAATTCAGTGGACTTCATTTACAATTAACATTTATAAAGAGGATTGACCCAGCACAATTTGCCAACTGAAGAGCAGCAAAATTTGAGGTTTCCTTGAGCCAGATGGACCTTTCCGAGGTCAGAGGTCAGGGGGCAGTACTGGGATTCAAACCTTGGCTCTTTTCTGTACTCACCATACTAGCTCCGTGTGTTCATCAGTTCAATGCTGATTAAAGACAGATGGCTACACCTCTGTAAGGGCAGCCAAGTCTCCCTTAGCTCCAGCCAAGTGCTTTTTGCTCTGCCTGGTTGATTTTTGCTAACTTTTGTGCTTGGAAGTGAGCATTACTGCAGCTCCGGCTGCGTGGGGCATTGATTTTTATAAAACTTTATTTCAAGCCCTGAATTTTACATCCCCCTCCAACTTAGTGGAATACAGCTGGAGAATGGCAGGTGGCTAGGTGCCCAAGAGAAGGATTTTCTAAGTAGCATTATAACAGGAAGTGGAGCATCTAGAAGGCTGAACTAGAAAAAGGCCCATAAATAGGAAATGGAAACTAAAAGCCAGTCCAAGATACAGAGGCCATGTAAAAGCAGGCTTGTTCGTTGGGTATGACTCAGGCACAGAGTGGCTTGTGAACATTGATCTCTGAGCTGAATCTTGGTGTATGCTTGAAGGGAGGCTTTGAGCCGCTTTTATCTACAAGCTGGGTTTGATTTCATTATGCTCTCTGGGATCTTCTGTGCTCTCTTGGGTACTCTATTGATCTGCCTTTGAGAAGAGGTACAACAAGTGATGGCCATAAGGCCACATCTGCCTCTTTAACCTCATCGCTTATCCTCTCCCCGTGGTCTACCACATCATGGCCTCAGAGACCTTCCTTTCTACCTTTTGGTTCCCGCTTTGCACTTGGTGTCATCTCTGTGGAACTCTTTTCATCCACGTCTGTGTGGCTCTCCTCATAATTTTAGGTCTTAGCTCAACTGTTACCCCCTTAAAGAAGCTTTCTATGACCCCCTTCCCCGCAGCTGATCTCTTTGCCTTGTTTTATTTCCTTCATATATTCAGTCACTATCTGAAGTTAACACTTGTGTTCTCCCCTACTCTGGAATATAAGCATCATGGTGACAGGGATTTTGTGTTCACCACTGTGCCCTTGGTTGTGAATCATTAGACCCCCTCACTTTCTCCCATCCTGGTTTAGAATTTTGTCTAGCAGCATTTAACATCTAGCTAAATAACAAAAAGGAAGAAAATTTTTAGAGACAGTAGAAAATGGTCAGATGCACAGATTACCTTTGATTATATGTCCTGAGTTCGTCCTGGCAGATTTTGTTATCTTGTCTGTCAGGTTGAGTATGTAGCCAGGGTATTTTCATGCTTTATTATTCCTTCCTAATCTGTACCACATCTGAGCATCACCACCTGTCTAGGCTTCTGACAGAAAGTTGGTCATCTTTGACTTCTTTTCTTTTCCAAATTCAGTAAATTACCAAGTCCTACTGATTCTACCCCCGAATCATTTCCTGAATTCTTTATTGCCTCACGGTTTCTTGCCTTTGGCCATCTGTTTGGTTTCTACATCAAGTCTTTTCTGCCTTTCCTCATCTAAAAAATTTTTAAAACCAGCAACTCTATTGTCCATGATAACGCCAGAGTTATTTTTCTAAAACTTGAATTTGGTCTGGTTGCTACCTTGTTTTAAACACCTGGCTCCCTACTGCTTATGAGGAAAGGTGTTAAACACTCACGATGCATCTGAGGAAATAAAAGTCTAAGTCTAAGGGCCTGGAATATTCTTCCCCTCCTGTACCACTGAACTCTTTCTTTTAAGGCTCTTTCGCGGATGCTGCCTCTGAAGTCTTACCAGCCCTGTCCTTCTTGGGTCACAATGGTTGCTCTTGACTTTGTGTTTCCATAGTGCTTTGCATTCACCTCTAATGATAGCCACGTCTGTTTGTGGTGCATTTCATATGTGCTAGACACTGTAGTAAGAGTCTGCTATGCATAATCCATCCTCCCAGCAATCCTAGAAGTAGGTACTACAATCTCCACTTCACAGAGGAGAAACTGAAGTTCAGGAGATCCCGCCAAGATCCCTCAGCGGCAGGGGCTAAGGTCTGAAGATTGTGCCATAGCACCTTCTGCCATGTCATGGGAGTTTGCATTTATTTCTGTTGCTGGACCTGTGTGTTCGTTGCAAGGAACACCCTCCCCCCCCTTTTTCTTGCCCAGAAGGACTCAGTATTTGAATCAAGAGCAGGGAGCAAGTTGTTTTTTATTCATTGATGTCATTTTAAAAGTTTATCCATTTTTGTTGTCTTGTCTCCACGATGCATGACGCAGGTTCTCTGTATGTCTTGTTCTAGCTTTTGCTCTGCATGCCTGCAGGAATGTCTGAAGCCGAAGAAGCCTGTCTGTGGGGTGTGTCGCAGCACTCTGGCACCTGGCGTCCGAGCCGTGGAGCTCGAGCGGCAGATTGAGAGCACAGAGACTTCTTGCCATGGCTGCCGTAAAAATGTATGTGGAAGTAAAATGGAAGAGTCAGTGTCTTTCTATAAGATGGGTAAAATGTAGATCTGTTGCCACGTTGTTTCTGAAGTTAGAGCGTGACTAAGTGACTAACAGCACGTGTGCATGCTGGTTATCTGTGGCAGTGGCTGTGCTGTTGCGTTTTGGTAACCTTAATTGGTTGTGGTGGGGTTTTTTTTCCTTTAAGAATTGGTTTAGTATATTACATAGTTTAGTTTTGAAAGCCATAGAAATCAGTTGTCCCAGTTTTTTCCTGCAAAAGACCCATTTTCCCAAAGCAGCATACACAGTTTTAATTAGAATATAATGAATGATATTTCTTAATTTTTTAAAATATAAAATGAAGTCAGTGACTCAGAGTTACCTGCTGCAATGAGTTTGAGGGGAAAATTTTTTTTTTTTTGGGCCATGCCACCTGGCATGCAGGATCTTAGTTTCCCAACCCCAGGGATGGAACCCGCGCCCCCTGCAGTGGAAGCGCGGAGTCTTAACCACTGGAACACCAGGGAAGTCCTGAGGGGAAATTTTATAATGTATATTACTAAAGATATAAAACTTGTTCAGCTTTTTAGCACTTGGCAAGGGGGAATTGTAGTGCAAAGGTCAATATGAAGTCATTTGATTATAATAGCAATATCTAACATTTGAAATGCATCCATACTCTTTTGTGTGACCATATTAGAGTCAAGAATATTTATCTTAGCATCTGTTGTAACTGCACAGGTTACAACATTTTATTTTCAAAGAGATATACACAGCATTATTGGTTTTTAAATCATTATGATTTTATTAATTCCAGACAACACAAAAATATAAACTAATGTAGGCTTGTTCCCCACTCCAGAGATGACCTCTTTAAAAATGCTTCAATTTAGAAGGTTGCAAGATATTTTTCTGCCCATTGACAAACACAAGTGTGGGATTTCTACAAAATAGGATCATACTATAATATATATTTTTACAAGTTCTTTTCACTTTTGAAAACTTTTTTTTACTTAATGACTTATTTGACATCCTCGCATTTTAGTTTCATTACTTTAACACCTTAATATGGATAGCCATAAAATGGATATACCTTACCATTTCTTTCCTTTCAGAGTGATTTAGCACTAGGGGTACACAGTGGCTGCAGTTCTGAGTAGGGCTCTTTCCCGTCCCTTTTAATTGGGAGCTCTTTGATAGACAGCTTGAGGTCAAGTTCTTTAGCTGGAGATAAGACAGAAAGAAGCATCATGGTAAGCCAGAGCTCAAATACTGAAACATATTTTCCCTTGTAGTTTCTTTTGATTGAGAAACTCAAGATACTGAAATAAAGTTTCCTGTTACCTTTATCTTTCTTTATGTATGCATGATGAGTTTTTAAAAATTTCTGTATGCTTTTGATTTTCTTCATTTTAAAGATTAGTGATTGTATTGTATTATACCTCCAGAAATGTTTATCTTCCCTTTACCTCCTCTTTCTTCATTCCTTACACTTTTTCTTTCTTTTTAGATCACCTGTGATGAAGCACTCTTCTGTGGGTTTTCTTTTCTCTTTCCATCTTGCAAAGACTAGATTTTATTAGAGAAATAGAATTCAGATTCTGGGGTTTTTTTGTAAGATCATTTATCACAATCTGGTGATAGGATATAATTGTTTAACTAGGATTACTAGCCTTTATCCCTTTTACGTAAATCATCACTTTTCTTTGCCGCACTTATAATGGAATGTGGTTCTTGGCTTGCGTAAGGAGATTAGTTTAAGTGCTAGTGTGGAAAACTTTAAAAACTTCACTGGGTTTGGAGTGTCTCTGTGAGCAGAGAGCATATCATGAATAAAGCAAACCTCTCTGAGAGTGATTTTAGAGTGGAAGCAGATATCCTCGTTTGGTCAAGTAAAACATCAGCCTTGGTATTAACAGAAACCCTGCAACAGTCAGAGTTTCAGTCCCATCAGCATAGCCAGGAGTCTGGTGAGATTGTTTGCCAGGGTGATATAGGTCTAGTTTTCATCTTGCCTTCACTTTGGGACTGTGTTGGACTGGGTACAAGTTCCTGACTAACTTGTGGGCTCTGATTCTTCCTACTTAAGTTCTTCCTATCCAAGATCCGTGCACATGTGGCTACCTGTTCCAAATACCAGAATTACATCATGGAAGGTGTGAAGGCCACCACCAAGGATGTGTCCCTTCAGCCAAGGTAAATGACTCTGTCACTCTCTTAGGTGGACGTCTTTCTTCATGAGTTTTGGAAAGTGGAGGTACAATTGTTACGCTGGCTAAAGCTGACATAAGGTTTTGTTTTGGGATGGGTGTGGAGAAGGACTCTCATGTTCACTTCAAATATTAGCTGATCTGTTAGTTTCAATCATTTGACCTGATGCATAAGTGATCATCAGAACCCCTATCATGACGCATTGAGTGAACTTTGCTCCTTTTGGGAGGGTACAGTGATTGAAATTATGTGGAAAGTTACTCACAGAGAGGTTTCTTCTTTTTTCCTGCCTTTCATCTTCCAGAAATGTCCCAAACCGTTATACTTTCCCTTGTCCTTACTGCCCCGAGAAGAATTTTGACCAAGAAGGACTTGTAGAACACTGCAGGTTGTTGCATAGCACGGACACCAAATCTGTGGTAAGAGTAACTCTTTGAGTTTTTTGTTTTGTTATGTGGGTTTTTGTTGTTGTTTTTTGAATTTTTATGAGGAAAAAAAATCAAACTTAACAGAAAAATTACAGGGTTAGCTAAATGAACTCTATGTACCCTTTACCTAGAGTCACAGATTAATAAGATTTTACCATATTTGCTTAACTATACTCTGTATACATATTTTATGCTAACCATTTGAGAATAAGTTACAGATGTCATGACCCTTTGTCCCTAAATACTTCAGCACATATCTCCTAAGAAGAAGTAAATGTCTTCTTAGAAAACCACATTTTTTTGTGAGTTTGATTTTCACATTCAGGAATTGTAACATTGATACAATCTAATACCTACTTTGGGATTCATGTTTAAAATTTAACAATTGTAGTGTCCTTCATAGCAATCTCCCCTGGCCCCAAAATCCTGGATCTGTGTGTTATATTTAGGTGTCATGTCTCTTTAGTCCTCAGTTTTTCTTTGTCTTTCATGACCTTGACATTTTTAAAGAGGACAGGCCAGTTGTTTTGTAGAATGTCCTTCAATTTGGGTTTGTCTGTTTCTTCATGATTAGGAGCAGGGATGCTACATCTTCCGGGTATACATCAGGCGGGTCACATGATGTTTGTTGTTCCCATTGTTGGTAATGTTAACTTGGATCCCCTGGTGTCTGCATAGAGCTGCCATTTTCCATTTGAGTAGCTTCTTCATAGTTGTGGGGAAAGAGAATGTAGATGAAATTATTAGGAAAGTGCTTATCAGTCCTTTGATATTTAATTTATATATTAAGGCTGACATGTAGTTTTCTTTAAAAAAAAAAAAAGTTTGAATTTGGTCCATCTCAGCAGTGTTACCCTTCCCTCTTAATGTGATTGGCAGACCAGGTCTTAATACAACTTTCTCTATAGTTTTGTTTTCCCATTTATCTCACACTGCTTCTGTTGAACTATGTAGCTAGTTTTATGAGCAGATCTTCAGCTCCACTGCTGTAAAAGATGGTGTACAGGCTTGAGAATTTGCATGAGCTTTTGCTAGTAGAATTAGGCCTGATGGCGCTCTGTGTTTTTCTGTCTTAAATCTTAAGATTCAGCTGGTCTGTTTGAGAATACCTTGACTCTTCTCTTTATTGAACTCCTTGCCAAGTCCAAATTCTGGTCAGTACAGCTACTTTTTACACTGGGCTCCCTGGACTCTTAATGTGCTGTGACAGATTCCACAGACGAATCCCCCCTCTCTCTGCTTTTCCCAACTCCCCAAACTAGGGAACTGGGCTGGCTTGGCCCAGTGAGCACCCTGTTTTCAGCCAGGCCCTATTGCTGCTAGGCACACACACACACACACACACACACACACACTGTCTGGTGGCTATTCTGGGCACTCTCTTTTCCTTAAGTTCCTGGCATGAACTATCCCCATCTTTTCCACAGATAATGGTGAGTCCTGCTTTTCACTAAGTTCCAAGTACCAGGTGTGTGTTCCTTTCTTCTCTGTTCATTCTGTCTCAGGAGCTCTCTGATCTATCTCTGAGGTCACAGACTGGCAGCCTGTCTGGCCCATACACATTTTCATTTCCCCAGACTTTAAAAATTAGCAGATTTCTCAATCTTGATACTGTACATTTGAGAAATTAGAAGTTCTGGTGAGAGTTGGCTGGCTCTGAGTACTGCTGGCCCCTTAGATGGGATGGCTCACAGACATCCTGCTTTGCTTGTTTGCCTTTCCCGCCGGGTTCCTGTGAACGCTTGAGTGTGCACCCCTCCTTCTGTGTCCTCATCATTCCCTCGTGCTGAGGAAAAGGCTCCTTTGCAAGTCCGCCTCTTCTCTGCCCACATCCTCAGATCCAGGCGGAGGACTGAGACTAGGGCCTTGCCCTGCCCCTGAGGCTTCCTCTCCCCACCATGTCTCTCCTGTCACCTTCAGCTTTTCTCTCTACCCGCTCCTAACACTTGCTTTCCTTCAGACATGCCCAATCTTCCCTAATTGGTGGGAGGAATATTTGATCCACTGTTTTCTCTATGTAGCCTGCAGTTTCTCTTTTCCTTCAAGCTTTGGTTTGTCAGCTGCTGCTGTCTCTTCCATATTCTCTCCTTTATCCCTTTAGAGTCCAGCGTCCACTGCTGTCATCACATTCTCCATGGACCCAGCTGGTCTTCTTAAGTCCTTGTTTTCTCTCACCTTGCTGCAATTTTTAAAATTTGTTTCTTTGTATGTAATCAGTTCCTTGTATAAGAAGTGGACTGTGGCCCCTTCCCCTAGACTCCTGGTTCCCTCTATACCATCAGTTATTTAAGTATTTTTTATATTCTTGCAATTTAGTTTATGTTTGGATGTGAGAAATGCATTATATTACCACTTGTCATTTTTGAATAATAGAAGTAAACCCAGTGTAAAAGTAAAACACCATACCATGCCTGCCAACCTTTCATGAGATCAGTCACAAAGAATTGATTATTTTCTCTCAAAAATAAACAGCCTTGGGCTTCCCTGGTGGCGCAGTGGTTGGGGGTCCGCCTGCCGATGCAGGGGGCGCGGGTTCGTGCCCCGGTCCGGGAGGATCCCGCGTGCCGCAGAGCGGCTGGGCCCGTGGGCCGTGGCCGCTGGGCCTGCGCGTCCGGAGCCTGTGCTCTGCAACGGGAGAGGCCGCAGCGGTGAGAGGCCCGCGTACTGCAAAAAAAAAAAAAATAAATAAAATAAACAGCCTCATCATTTGATACTAATACCCATCCTTCTGAGGTCTGTATCTTTATTACATAGATGAGTGTTGAGGTTTTGAGGCAGATGCCAATCTGGAATGGCCATCGCACCCCAGAGCCATCTGGGATGAGCCACTTCTCAGCCGCCATGTCTTCAGATTCATCTGCATTAAACTTAGTAAATCCCCACTCCTGGAGAGGCAGATTTTCTGGCGGCCAGGGCACCTGAACTTGGCCCTGCATAGTGCCTCAATCACATGCTCCTTGTTCTGCAGCTTGGTGTGGATGGGCATGATGACTTCGCCAATGTGGACTCTGGCCACTGTGCCCAAGGGCTTTCCCAAGGCACCCTGTATACCTGTCTGGAGCCTAGACTGAGGATGTCCTGAGGCCAGACATTTTCTTTTCCTATGATTCCAGAATAGCTGCTCAGTACACATTCTTTGTCTGCACTAAGCATGATATGTTCTATGAAAAACACCCCAAAGCCAAGTTTTCAGCTGCTTCTTCAAGATGTTTCAGTTGTGGTTCTTAATAACTAATTACTAATTGAAAGAGCAAATGAGCTTAGACACAGAGACACACAGACATCACCACCTGCTCCCACTACCCATTTTCCATTTTAAAGTTAGCCAGATAAGCTCAACTATTTTAGTAATTATGAAAACTAAAACGGATGTTAAATCAAATGATAGAGCTACTCAAATTCATTTCCTACCACTGTCTCCCCTGCACTCATTTCTGGAATAAACCAGTGTGCCACCCATGCTAAGTGGATTGCCCACATTGTGAAGCTGGTTAGTGCAGAACCAGTACTGGAACCCAGTGTCCTGGCTCCTAAACCAGTTCTCTCTTAACAGCATCAGAGACACCTCTGTTGGGTGCTCATTGGCCTCTGAGTAGTGCTCAACTGTGTGTGTGTGTGGAAAATACAGTTATGTCATCCAGAGACATTTCTAGCTTTCAAATGTATGATTCATGTGCATCCTCCTTTTTTGTCCCCCTTTGGATGCAAGTAACAGCGCATTTCTATACACTGTAACCAGTGTTGTTGACATCTGTCCACATTAGTACATGTAGATCTGATTCTTTTAATGAGCTTCTCAGTTTTTCATTACTTGTCTGTACCATGATTTAACTGGTCCCTTATTGATAAACGTCAAGGTTACTTCCAGACGGTATCAGAAAATTTGATTAAAGACTGGATATTAAATGCTACTAAAAAAAATTGTTGATCGTTGGGTGAGATAATAAATAGTACGGTATTTGTAAAGGGAAACACATTTTTAGGACTGTTCTGAAACAGTTAAGGGTGAATTGTTGTGTCTTATTTTTAAATGCTTCATTTTTTGCTGAAGTAGGTATGCCAAACTTAAATCTAGGTGTTGGGGATAAGGGATGGTTTGTCAAACTATTATCTACTTTCCTATAGTTCTGAAGTTTTTCATAGTACATTTGTAAAGGGTGTCATAGATTTTTAACATACCTTTGCCTGTATTTACGTATGTCTGAAAAATAAAGTCTTACCCTGCAGCCAGTTAAGCCGACTGTGCTCTTTTCTCCATGGGGGCCCGGTGTGCAATGGCTGCAAAGAGCAGCCTCCTTGGTAGTGTATGCAGCCTGTTGCCTGTATGGGTTGCCCTAAGGGACCTTGGAGACAGCCCTTTCCAGTGGACATTCGTGTCTGGCCTCAGGCCGTCCCCAGTCTAGGCTCCAGACAGGTGTACAGGGTGCCTTGGGAAGGCCCTCGGGCACAGTAGCCAGTGTCTTCCGTTGGCAAAGTCATCATGCCCATCCACACCAAGCTGCAGAACAAGGAGCATGTGATTGAGGCCCTATGCAGGGCCAAGTTCAGGTGCCCTGGCTGCCAGAGAATCTGCATCTCCCAGGAGTGGGGATTTACTAAGTTTAATGCAGATGAATCTGAAGACATGGCAGCTGAGAAGTGGCTCATCCCAGATGGCTCTGGAGTCAAATGCATCACTAATCGTGGCCCCTGGACAGAGGCACTCATGAGACCTTGGCCCTGTCCCTTCCTCACTGAGGCCCATCAGTGAATCCCAGTTCCTAACAAAGAATAGTAATAAAGTCTTAGATATGGATTAATTTGGTTAAAGGTTAAGTACACTCATAATTTTGATAGATATTGCTAAACTACTCTGTGGTATCTGATACTGCAACCCAATTTTTTGTCCTTTTTTCCCCCTCCTTTGGCTTCTTGAAATCCCTCTGATTATTTTCTCTGTTGAAGCCTCACTTCCTTCAGCCCGTGGTCCTCTGTTCTGCCCCTCTCCTTCTGCAGAGCTCCTTAAACGTCAGTGTTTCAGCCCTCCCCTTTGGAAGCCTCCTCCTCCCCAAACTCTGGTTCTGATCACGGTCTCCTCCACAGCGCCAGCCTCCTGCCTATAGCTCCTTCACCATTTCACATTTATCTCATGTCAACCCCCTTTGTCGCATATCTTCCTTGTAGATGGTGGGGTTCCGTTGGCAAGCCAGACCGCTCCCCCCCCCCCCCCCCCCCGTTCCTCTCTGCCCCTTGCTGGGAATTTTCCATTCTAGCCAAACTAATTGGCTTCTTGCCATGTACTCTTTGACTTTCCAAATACCTCCTGCTCTTCAAAGCCCAAATCAACCTCTTGTACGAAGGCTCTTTAGCCTGAGCCCCATCATCTGAGCATTTACTTGATAAAAATAGCACATAAGGCTGTGTTTTACTTCCTTGGGATGTCGCTCATCTGTCATTTCCTTGGTTTTCTTTGTGCTTTTAGATCATTTTGTGTGCTGGGTTGGAAGGTCGTAGTCTAGGCTCCTCCTAGGCTGACACAGTGTTCTCACCTTAGTAGGGGATCAAAAATGGGTGGTATCATGGCCTAAGCCTTTTGACTCGAGTAGGAGACTGACAGTGTCTTCTGGGATGTGAATGTGCACTTGAAGATGTTACCAGGCCCTGGACTGGTGGTCAGGAAAGCTGTCCTGGAAGAAAGGTGGCCGGACACAGGCCACAGAGGGCTAATGTCAGCTCAGACACCCAGTACCTGATACCGTGCTTCTTTATTGAAAGGTTTGTCCGATATGTGCCTCGATGCCCTGGGGAGACCCTAACTACCGCAGCGCCAACTTCATAGAGCACATCCAGCGCCGGCACCAGTTTTCTTACGACACTTTCGTGGTGAGTCTGGAGCCTGTGCTCTAACTCCTTCCCCCGGGGGGTGGCACAGCTCCCTCCCTTCTCTTACCTGGAGAACTGTGGGCCCCCTTGGTGAGTTTTGTCACTGATGTGATGGGCTCCCTGGAATGACAGCTGTGTGGTATTTAAGAAGATGAACTGGCCAGTCATCTAGACTGAGATATAGTAAGCTTGCTTTTATTTTATGTTTTCCAAAACTTTTGTCCACTTCAGTATGTGGTTTCTACCTGTTATGGAACCTGGTTTAGGATCCTTAAGCTCAGGTGCCCACAGGAACCAGGCAAGTAATGGAAGTGATTCTCCTAAGGAATTGCAAGCTGGGCGGTGTGTGACTCAGGTAATGCAGCCAGCAGCGCCAGCTGATTGTTGTTGTGTGGAAAGACAGGCACAGCATTGCCAGGCTCCTCCCGCCCCAACCCCAAGAAGTTGGAAATGCAGAATTTCATATGACGCATCCCAAGTTTGTTTTAGAGTACTTCAGGTCAAACGAAACACACCAACTAGCCAAATGTGGTCATCAGGTTTACATCCTTTCTCTAGAGCTGAGTGGGTTTTTTTAAAAAATAAATTTATTTATTTATTTACATTTATATAAATTTATTTATTTTGGCTGCATTGGGTCTTCGTTGCTGCAGTAAGCGGGGGCTTCTCTTGTTGCAGAACACGGGCTCTAAGTGTGAAGGCTTCAGTAGTTGTGGCACACGGGCTCAGTAGTTGTGGCTCGTGGGCTCTAGAGCGCAGGCTCTGTAGTTGTGGCACACAGGCTTAGTTGCTCCGTGGCATGTGGGATCTTCCCGGATCAGGGCTCGAACCCGTGTCCCCTGCATTAACAGGCAGATTCTTAACCATTGCGCCACCAGGCAAGCCCCTAGTATTCAGTCTTAATGACTGTGTTTCAGGACCTGAGAAGGAAAGCATGACTCTTTCCTGAGTTGTCATAAAGAGTATTTTACTCTCGGCCTAACAGAGTGTCTGAAACTCAAGACTTCGAAATACCTGTCGTTTTGTTAAAGATGAATACAATTCCCAAGGAATTGCAAGCTGGGCGGTGTGTGACTCAGGTAGTGCAGCCAGCAATGCCAGCTGCAATTCCCAAGTAGATAGCTTTGTCTCATTGAATCAAAAAGGCTGCTATTAACTTCGGAACGCTCCAGGTCTGAATGCTTGGTCTGTGCCAGGCTTCACTCGGGTCCTCTCTGGTCCCCACCCTCCCGTCTGAGGGAGCCGTCATCATGGTCATCGTCAGGATGAGGCAGCCAAGGCACAGAGAGATCAAGCACTTTCCCGGAGTCGTGCAGCTGGCATCGCAGACCGTGGAGCTGGCCCCTGGCCTCTGGCCCCTCTCCAGAGCCACCGCTCACATGCCCTGCTTCTCCGACTGAAAGTGAGTTCTTGCAGCTGCGCACAGTTGGCTGAGGCTGAGCGTCTTTTTTGCCCGTAGGATTACGACGTGGATGAGGAGGACATGATGAACCAGGTGCTGCAGCGCTCCATCATCGACCAGTGAGCAGACTCTGCTGGGGCTCATGTTCCAGAGCTTCCATTACGTGTTCCGCGGGAAATGTGTGACTCCTCCACCTAAATGTACAACAGACCTGGAAGTGAGCCGTGGTATTAGGACAGGGTCACTTCCGACGGGGAATAGGTCCCCAGATCAGAGCCCTCCTTTCCTTTGGGTTCTTCCCCTACTGTTTACCCTGCTTGTCACATGTCTGGTTTTGCTCCTCAGCCACGTCCTGCAGCTTCTGCCTCTTTTTTGGAAGGGAACCCAGCTTCTGCACCTGTCCTTGTTTCACATTTGAGCCTCGTGTTCGATGTTGACCTCTCAGGTCCTCTGAGCCAGCCAGGACCTTTTCTGGGTCATGAATAGCACAGATGAGACAAGCGTCTCCTCTCCTTGTCCCCGGGGTGTGTGAGCTCTGGCAATAATGCATCTGATCAGTGATGGAGCTCCTTCTGTGCTGTGCAAGTTCCTGTTAGTTGGTCCTTGGCAGCAGCTGCCAGAAGCTGGAGTTACCTCATGGGAAACATTTCACACGTCCTGTTGGCATGAATGTTCTGGACTTAACATGGTCTGGTGCTGGAAGTTTTGCTTAGTGATATTTTCCTACCATTCCTGCACACCCTTAGGATTAACTGGTTCAATCTTAAATGCCTGCACGGTGCCTTTTTAGGATAAAGGTGTAACCACATATTTTTAGTGAAAGTAAGTGTTTCTGGCTTAGGAAAGTTAAACTCCATTTATCCATAAGTGGGGAGGAAGGTCAGCTAAGTGAGGTGGGAGGGCCATAGCTTTTTGGTTCTGATTTTCAAACTAATGAAGTATTTTCTGGTGACTTGGTTATGTTTGCTTCTCTATTGGGGAGCCTGCTTATGTTCCTGTCCTTGAGGCACAAAAAGGAGTCCTCAAATGAATAAGAAGTTTGGGGGCTCCAGTGGATACTAGTTCTTTTATTTGGTAATTTAGATTAAACTGCGTGTTGCTTTTCTATCACGAATGGTTTCCTTATAAAACTGGTTTCAACACGTCAGTCGGTGTGTGAAGACCTGCCTTCTAAAGCGGAGGGGTTGGGGAGATCTGGTATCGCTGCTGCTGTCTCTGACAAGACACACTGTTCAGAAGGCACAGCACACTTCCTGGGAGCAGTTGGTAATGGAAGCTGTCCACTGGAAACTTGCTTTGCTAATACCTTCGGAAGCCTGAAGTTCGACTGTTTCACGAATATTAATAAATACGAGGCTAAGGGCTGTCTAAATCTGTAGGAGCAGAGCTGATCCACCAAAAGGCATCTGAGTCTAGGTTCATTTTTCCTTGTTAGATCTCTTGTCTGAATATGGACATTGTTTCTGGTCAGTGGCTGAGGTTTCAGATGACAAGGGGCTCTGGGCCTGTGCACTGCGCTGTGGGCCTCGCGCTACCTGCCAGCGAGAGCTGCACGTGCCCAGGGCCCAGCAAAGACGGGCCCTTTGGGGGCAAAGTAACTTCTTCTAATGTGCTGTTGCTTGGGAGGGCCCCGATGTTATGGTCAGATTCTTCACTGTAATTTCTGGAAGAAGTTCATCTCAGTCTTAAGTTTAGAGGGAAATTTGACAAAACCTTCATTTGCGGGACCTGATGATGGTGGTCTCACTGGTGATACCAAGAAACTGAGTTCCTTGTATTAAGTGCACTTCATGTATTTCTAATAAGACGACTTTCCAGAAAGTGACATTTGTTATGTTCTGGCTTTTAAAAGGTGAAATATAAATAAATTTCATAATTTATCCAACTGGTAAGCTGTAATGCCTGTTTTCATTAACCACCATTTGCTGAAGTCTGGGCCTGGGGGGCCTCCAGAAGATTGTTGCTCTTTTTAAGGGGAAGTTCTTGTTTGTCACGAGTGAGTCCCATCTGGCTCAGATCTCAGCTCTGACACTTCGCCGGCTGGCTTCACCGGGCCTGTGTTGTCTGGAGAACGAACCCCCTTCCCAGCCGAACCCCACCCCCACCCCCCATGTTGGGAGGTCCCATGAGGCAAGAAGTGGCTGTGTTCCATGAAACGACTTCAGGTGCCTTAGCGGCAGCCCTGAGACATCATAGCAGAGGGTTCCACACGTGAAGATCTGAGGTCATGGGCGTGTTTCCGTTCTGCACTCTGCCGCTGGCTGTAGGATGTCTGGAAAATACTTCCCCCTCCCGATTTAAATAGGTTTTAATAGGATCTATCTCCTACATGTGGAGAAGGGACAACAGCAGGGAAAGA